TAACTAGTAAAGGTTGATCTATTTAAAACTATCTGATCTAAAAGTAATTGTTGACACTTTATTCTTTTTTACTGATCAGTGATTTTTAACTGCCCTGACCAACTACTCTCAGGAAAACATCAGTCTCATTTGCTAAATTGAAGAGCATTTATATTTGTTACCAGCACAATGTCAGTCATTTAGCAAAAACAGTAATAAAAAGGTATTATAGGAAAAAGGTATTACAAAGTGGGTTATGCAGTTAAGGAATAAATTTTGAGGAGAACTTTTTCATATTTGTCGAGTTTGTTAGCTTTTTTTTTTTTTGAGACAGAGTCTCACTCTGTTGCCCGGGCTAAAGTGCCGTGGCATCAGCCTAGCTCTCAGCAACCTCAAATTCCTAGGCTCAAGAAATCCTTCTGCCTCAGCCTCCCAAGTAGCTGGGACTACAGGCATGCGCTACCATGTCCAGCTAATTTTTTCTATATATTTTTAGTTGTCCAATTAATTTCTTTCTATTTTTAGTAGATACAGGGTCTCGCTCTTGCTCAGGCTGGTTTTGAACTCCTGATCTTGAGCAATCTGCCTGCCTTGGCCTCCCAGAGTGCTAGGATTACAGGCGTGAGCCACACGCCTGTAATCCTAGCAGCCCCGCCTGTTAGCCCCGCCTGTTAGCTCTTTTAAATTGTAATTTATTGCACTTTTTGTTATTAATAAACATTCATTTTTGCTTAATAATTACAATCACTAATATAATCCACCATCATATACTCATTGGAGAAATTTCAAACTACACAAGAATTATGTAGGTTCCCTTGCCCCTCCGCTAAGTCCACACTCACTAAAGGTGAGTATTCTTTCAGATTTTTTTTGTGCCTCTCTCTCTCCATATAAAGAGTTTTGCTTTAGGATGTATGTCTGTGTGTGTGTTCTGTGTGTGTGTGTGTGTTTGGTACATAAAGTATTTCATGCTATAGAGTGCTGGTCTTTACTTTTCTTTTTTCACTTAAACTCTTCTTGGAGCACTTTGCCTATGAGTAGCAGAGTCCCAAGTACTGTTGGGCAGGTTGTGCACTGCACAAGGACACCAGACTAAAGTGCTGAGAGGGGACTGATGGGCAACCTGTGTTTTACTCATTAAATGTGAACATTGGCACAGAGCTGCATCCATCCAAAGGGATATTTTTCTAACTCACATTGAAGCACTATATTGATTATTCATGCTCTGTCAGAGCATGTGAGTCTACTCCATTGTTTGCAACTACTGGTTAGTAATCAGAGGAATAATGGTATCATAATTTATTAATTTAAACAAATTTCTATTGATGGCCACATAGGTTGTAGATTATTTCCTGTTCTTTGGCTACTAGGGAAAAGAATGTTCCACTGAATAGTATTGGGTTTACTACTTTTGCATGTGTGCAAGTAATTTTCTAGGATAGGTGTCTAAAATTAGAATTGCCAAGTTGAAGAAAGAGTATGTTCTACTTTAATTTTAATAGATATTTCCAAACCACCCTCCAAAAAGGAGGAAATTTACATTTCCAAAATATTGTCAAACTTGAGTGTGGTCAACTTTTTCTTTTCTTTTTGACAATCTGATAGGTAAAAAATAATAATTCTCAATATACAATCCATCTGATAATTGTTTAGTACCATTTTGTATCCATCTATTCTTTTTGGATTGTGGATCTCTTTTATATATTTTGGTAGTAAAATATCACATACACATGACATATAGATATACAGCTAGAAACAAATCTTATAGCTCCTATAAGGAATTTTTATTTATTGGCTCTTGAATATTACTTTTTATTTAGACTATCAATCTTTTTTTTTTTTTTTTTTTTTGAGACAGAGTCTCGCTTTGTTGCCCAGGCTAGAGTGAGTGCCGTGGCGTCAGCCTAGCTCACAGCAACCTCAAACTCCTGGGCTCGAGTGATCCTTCTGCCTCAGCCTCCCGGGTAGCTGGGACTACAGGCATGCGCCACCATGCCCGGCTAATTTTTTATATATATATCAGTTGGCCAATTAATTTCTTTCTATTTATAGTAGAGACGGGGTCTCGCTCTTGCTCAGGCTGGTTTTGAACTCCTGACCTTGAGCAATCCGCCCGCCTCGGCCTCCCAAGAGCTAGGATTACAGGCGTGAGCCACAGCGCCCGGCCAAGACTATCAATCTTTTAATTACCTATTTTATTATTTTATGTAATTATTAGCTAGGCAACAATTTGTGTTTAGTAGTAAGATTTCATTATTTCTATAAGCATTTGCCAATTCCAGGGCCTAATACTTATACATGTATAAATAGATGTAGCTAGAAAGTAGAATACTCAGTTCTTCAGAAATTAATGATCCTATTTTTACCTTAAATTTTGGCTTTGGCTCTCAGATCTCCATGATCAACTTAGGCAATGGCTTTTCCTTACCTAAGCACACAAGAAAAAGGAACAAAGGGACAGAACACGAAAATCTCTGTAAATTCCTAAAATCTGGAGTTCACAACCCCTGTAGTGTTGTCATTCACTCTTCGTTTCTACCAGACCCAGTCAGACATTTGAGGCCTCTACCTGGATCTAAGCTAATTAATTATTGGATTCAATCTGATCTCAGACCTATTTTAGAATCTGTCATGACTTCTAAACCCAGTTTCAATCAAAAATTTTCTCAAACAAACTCAGAGAGCTCAAAACACAAACTTGTGGAGCTTTAGAATCCAAGAGAGACTTTACCCACAAGAGCCAGTTGTGCCCAGGGAGCAAGGGACACAATGGGACCTCACTTGGACTCTAGGTGCTCCCAGGGGTCTCTGGGAGCTTTACTTTGGAAAACACTTCTGACAAATTAAATTTAATGGAGTTTAATTGAGCAAAGAGCGATTCACAAATTAAGCAGCTGAACCAGAACAGATTCTGAGATACTACAACACTGGAGAAGATTTATGGACAGCAAAGAGAAAGTGACACGCAGAAAATGAAAGTGAGGTATGGAAACAGTGGGATTGGTTACAGCTCAGAGTTTGCCTTCCTTAAACATTTTGAACAGTTAGCCACCTTTGATTGGCCAGAACTCCATAATCAACAAAGAGGAAGGAGTAGGGAGGAATGAAGAAGAATGGAGCAAACTTTAGCTGGAACGGACAGCTGACATTTTTGTTTTTGAATTTTTTAACTCAAGTACCTTTTTAAATGAAACCAATATGCCTTAGCCAAGGTTATAACTTGATCAAGAAAGTAAGAGGTGTCTCCAAAGAGGTAGATAACAGTTTTTATTAATACAAGATCCAGAAAAGCCACAAAAACAGTTCAAAGAAAAGAAAGTCTAGATAGCCATAAACAAGGTATAACTCACATTTTTTTGTATAGTCATATTTTCTAGGGTCCCAGCTTCTCAGTTGACTATCTCTACATAAATGTCTAAAAGCCTTGTATGCCCCCACAGAAGACAAGAAATCAAAAACTGTGGATGGAAGGGAAAAGAATCAACAAATAGCAAAACTTAACATAAACATCAGACCAGAACATGCTCCTCCCCTACCCAGGAATCAAACTGAGGTTGCTGAACATGAAAGCATGGAACCTTAACCGTAAGGCTACAAGGTCAAGTGGACCCTGTTGTTATTCCCACAGGAGTAGTGTTCAAAGGATTTTTATTATTGTTACATCAGATATTTGCTCTTCAATTGTGTCAAGAGAATTTTTAAGGCTAACCACAACATTGTGCGTCTTTCTTTTCCATCTTATTTCTCTGTTAATATAAATCAGGCAATTTATTTATTTATTTTTCAATAAGAGATCTCTAAAATTTATATTTTTGTAATTTAGAAATCTTTTCATGTAAAGGATCCCTCTTTTGGCCATTAATAATTATTAATAGAATTCTCAGTGGTATATTTATTTCAAAAGCGACTCAGCTCAATGTCTGGCTGGAGAAAGCCCAGGTGGTAATTTTTCAGGTTTAGCCTGCAGAGCGCACGAAGAAGGCGGTCCCTATGATTCCCCAAAATTTACTCTCTGAAGTAGACAAGACGGACAAAGACGACAGGACCGTTTGAGGCAAAGACTCCCCTGGAACTGGACGTATTCGAAACAAAGAATGTGGCTGCTTAGAATCTAGAATCTTCCCTGTCTCGGACCCCCAGCCTTTTCTTCAGACTTCGACGAAAACACGCCCCCCGGGACTGCGGCGGAGGCTGAGGAGAAAATTCCCGCTCAGTCACAAGACAAGCTCGGGACGTGAAAGAGCAAGACAGGGGACCCTCATACGGTGTTTCTTTTCTTTTTCTTTTTCTCTTTTTAGGGAACTGCTGCCAAGTTTGTCTTTAATAGGCACTGATCTAGTCAGAACCGTGTAGCTGGCTAGTCAGCCCGGCAGCAGCAATGGCGCGCTTGTAGGGGTTCTAGGCCCGTGTTCTACCCTGAGGTAACCCTCTACGTGACAGAAGGACACCGAAGCGAAAGACAACGACAAAAGAAAGCAGCAGCAACAACAACAAAAGGGTATTTGGGGCCTGGCGTGGTGGCTCATACCTAACATCCTAGCACCCTGGGAGGCCGAGGCTGGAGGACGCTTGAGGTCAGGAGTTTGAGAGGAGCCTCTCGGCAAGAGTGAGACCCCGTCTCTACTAAAAATATAAAAAAAATTAGCCGGGCATGGTGGCACATGCCTGTAGTCCCAGCTCCTCGGGAGGCTGAGGCAGGAGGATCCCCTCAGCCCAGGAATTTGAGGTTTCTGTCAGCTGGGCCGAGCCACCATTGCACGCTAGCCCGCGCAACAGAGCGCGACTCTGTCAAAAAAAAAACAAAAAAAAAAAACAAAACAAAAAAAAACCTACTTCTGAGAGGAGAGGGACAAGACAATATGAACATATGAGCATTCATACCACAGAGTACTTACAAAAACTTTTTCTCTCATCAATCTTAACTTCGTAAAAGGCAAAGAGACAATGGTTTTTAACTGGCTGCTCAACTACCGGAGCCCACAGAGGAGAACCGAAGAGTCTGGTAAGTTAAGGTATCTTACCGTGTCACCAGCTGGTCAGAGTGAAGATTCTCCTCACTGTGGCTTTCAGAACAGCAGAGCGGCTTGGAAGTTTCCTCCCGCCAGTGCCAAACTGTGCAGGCGAGGGGCGGGGAAGGGGGATGGGAGTGGGGCGGGGGAGGGGGGAGCTTCCGGTCACCTGAGAAGGTTCCCTGAAACATCAACTTACAATAAAATAGATTAATAAGAGAAAAGTTTATTAGCCGTGTGCCTGGGGAGCATCACAGAGTGATTACCCGATATCCGAACGGGGTCCAAAAATGTACCTTACTTACCTTCCTTTTAGAAGGGAGGAAGAATCGAGAAATATAGGTAATTCTGTTTAGGGGCAATAAATGGTTGCAAGGGAGGATGAGGAGATATTTTGGAAGAATGAATGGATGAGGGAAACGGATGACTTGTCAATCAGCCTGAGAGGAGACAGATAGTATATTTAAAACGATTTGCGCAGGGTCTGGTGGCATTCTTGATCTTTCCTGCAATATATTGAGATAACAGGAAAAGGAAGGGAAGTCAATTGTGTGTTGGAGGGGTTGTTTTTGTTGTGATGAGTCCATCTGATTTATGTAGATAGAGAGAAAACAGCCTGTTGATCTCTAAGGGCCTTTAGTTCAAATACTCTTTCTACCAAGGAGTCATGTTTGGGATGAAATTTCCTGAGCTGCTTCATCCTCAATGCTTGCCCTAAGTATCTGATACTCCTAATCAAGTTAAGAACATTACCTTCTAAGTCCTTGTTACCTAAAAGAGTTGTTTAAAATTTATTTTGTTTCATTTTTAATCACTAGCAGGTCATTTAAAATAGGTTTGGAATGTTATAGATGCCCTTTTTGACATTTATTTGTTGTAATTTTTTCTTTGATCTGTTAATGTAGGGGATTAATGAATTTCTTGTGGAATTGCTCTAAGTAAGAATCTAGTTCCCATTGACCAAATTTTTGTCAGAAACTGGTGCAATGGTTTTCTCTGTAATTTATAACAGTGTTCTTCTAACGTAGCTGTGCTATGGATACATTTATAGAACTTTTTAAAAAACACAGTAGCTTGACCTCACCCTATGCCTACTAAATCAAAATTTAGCCAGGGGAGCCTTGGTGTATGGAAGTTTTCAAAGCCTTACAAGTATACTGATAATTACCCAATATTGACAACTACTATTCAAACATGTGGTTCAATGATTTTCAAAGTGGGGCCCCCAGCAGCAGAAGTAGCAACAGAGTTACCTGAGAACTTGTTAAAAATACAAATGCTTCATCCCTGTTCAACACCCATTGAATCAGTCCCTCTCTGTGTTTTAAAAGCTCTTCAGATGATTCTAATGCACTACTAACATTTGAGAAGTCCTGATAAAGTTTATTGTTGACAGACAGAAAGAAGGAAAGAATAGAGGAAAGGAAGGAGGAAAAAAAGAACAAATCATCAGTGACCTGGTTTTATCTTCTAGATATGTAGATTAATAACAATAAGGAGATGCCAGCCATATATAACTAAGTCTGCAAGGTTTTTTAAAATTTACATATATTCAAACAAGATCTCTAAATGCATTTAGATTTGTGTGGAAAATATACCCTTTTAGGCCATGTGTAGAGTTGACAGAAGTACCTTATAGGCCTAAAGTGTCAACAACTACTTGAGTAACAAGAAGAAAAGGTGAATTGAATTGGGAGACATGGATTTTCAATTCTGCCATTAACAAAGTCTATAACCTTAGGAAAGTCTTAGTCTGAGTAATTTTCTCCTCAGAAAAAAATGAGAAAATTGGGCTACATAATTTCCCATATTTTTTCAATGTAAAGACTTCATTAATGTCAAAAAAGTCATAGACACATCACACATGATAATAGTGGGAAAAGAGATAATAGCAAAAAATTTATTCTGAACTTATTCATGGAAGATTTAGTAGCAAACATTTATAATTTAAGTAAATATGAAATTCTAAAGAAAGCACAGGAGCAGCCTTATACACTTTTCACATTTTTTTGCTAAAAAAAACCAAAATGGCAACTCTTAAATTGGTTTAGGAATGTAACATAAAATAAGATACTGAGACAAGAACATTTCCATTCACTGAAGTTGTAAAGCCAAACTTAAGAGTCAATTACTGTTTATTCATTCAAGGAAACAAGCCTGTGAAAAACTTTTCTATTGGCATAACTTTACACTTGAAACCAAGGGTTTCCTCTGATATACCCAGGCAAGGATAAGTGTGCTAAGCCAAAGAAACATTATTATTAATACAGGGGTCAGAAAAGGAGTTACCAGATCCAAATATAGGATTCCCAGTTACATTTTAGTTTCAGGCAAACAATGAAAATGTTTTAGTATCAGTATATTCAATGCAATATTATCCTGTGCAATATCTGGGAATATTTATATTAATACTAAAAAATTATTTTTTGTTTACCTGAAATTCAAGTTTAACTGGACATCCTATAATTTTATCTGCTAAATCTGGCAATCCTACTTGCAAATGAAAGAGAATGTGGTATATTTGAGAAATTAAAAGTAGCTCTGTGCTTGCAGCACAGCATTTTCTAAAACATTGTATGGTGTATGTGCGAGTACATCAGATAGCATAAGAATTATTATTCTGCTAATTCTGTAATTTAATATGTGTGAGAAACATCATATTATTATTTGTATATTTGGTAGTATTTATTATGAAAATAAAAATGCAATCATAAAAATATTAAGGAAGATACAGTGGTAAAATTGATATCAAAAAATATTAAGGAAAATATAGTGGTTGGACTCAGGGTCAGGGACAGTGATGAGAGTGACACTAGAAAAGTAGTCAGAAGTCAGGTCAATGCAGAACTTTTTCAAAAATTAAGTGATTTTTTTTATGGAAATAAATAAATTTTTACTTTTGTCTTTGTTGTTCGTGGCAAAGGAAAGATTAACATAATATTCCTAAAAACACTTTATGAAATTTTAATGTTGAGTAGATGTTTATCTCATGTTTTCAAACCAAGAAATGTCCAGTCTTCTTTAAAACCTGAGCCTGAGCAAAGAGTTCCTGACAATTGTTTAAAAAAAAAACAAAAAAAAAACTGTAGGATATCATAGGCATGATGGCACAGAACAGATAATCAGTTCAGAAAGGGTCTGACCTTGTGTTCTATAATGCATTTTGTGATCTGACTGATTTCAGAATGCTTACCAAATTATTTAGGTAGAAATTATTATATCCCAATCCCTAAAATGGGCCTTTGAAGCACATGAAAGAAGTCAGATTTCCCTGGGAGAGAGAGAAATTGCTACCCACTCATTTCTCCTTTGAGTTCACACCTGCCACTTCTGAGCACTCCTGAGGACCAGCTGCATAAATGTCCTTTGAAACTATTTAGGAAACTCTGTAGGCAATTTACAAAAGTTTCAGTTAATAAATGCTCCATTTGAAGCCTAGTTGGAGTTTAAAAATCGAACAAAAGAGAAACCAGTTTTCTTCACCATGCCTAGTAAGTGGAAGCAGATTGATAGGGAGTGAATAGAAACACTTAATATGAAGCCATGATCATTAATGATTACATGCCAGTTAAAAGATTCCTTGTAGCTATTTTAAATAACAATATTACCTACCCTTTGCTATCATTTAATATTATAATGGAATTAACACATATTATTAATTAGTAATTAATTTAAGTAAGATAAGTATAAGTAGAATTTGAGGTTGAACAGAATATATCTGGCAAATAGGATATAGTTGTTGATTTGTTTATTTCCTCCCAGTCTTCTCTAAGTTTCATATTGAAACACAGCAGCATAAAAATTAAGATTGACTTATTTAACTTGTCTAGAAATTCTTTTTTTTTTTTTTATAAGAAATTCTGACATAAGATAATTACATTATCTTTAGCTTCTGGCTGTCAAATCAGATGAAAATCTTCAGTGCTTCTTAAAAAAAAGATTTAATAACTTTCTGGTTTTTTAAAACAGGATATTATTTTAAGAAAGGAAAGTCTAGAATGAGAAATTTATTGTCAAATGAAATGTATAACACTAATATGAGATTTTATACTACTCCAGCTGGCTGCAGATCAAATACTTCAGGATGAAGCTGAGCCAAGTCTTTTGCTAAAAGGTCCCTTTCTTTCATGACCAAGCAAGGAGTATTACCAGCCCAGAATAGCTAGTGTGATGTATATGGCATTGAAGACAGTGTCGGAGCCAGAACCTTGAATTAAAAATCAGGAAGTTTTAGTTCTATTTCTGGCCTAGTTTTTAATTTATTATGACTATCTATGTGATGCCACAGCCCACTGACAAGCAGAGCATTCAGGCAATGTTATATTTGCTGAATCAAACATCCACTATTTGGAAGCATCTGGGTATTTTAACTGAATTTTTTGGTTCTTTTCCAAATGCTGCCATTAGAAAAACAGAGCTTGTGTGTCTCTAAGCGAGACAGTCTCTTTTCTGGACACGGTATTTCTCCATTCTGTAAAATGTCCAGTAACTCCTCCCCACCACCTTGTGTGTGTGTGTGTGTGTGTGTGTGTGTGTGTGTGTGATGTGCTTTGTGCTGTTCAATTAAGAGCATTTGCAAAAAGAGGAGTGTTGGGATTGCCCTTCTCCAGATGGAAGGAAAGCAGGGTAGTGGAGGATCCTGTTGTTTAAGCCTTAACAATTTATAGGCTTGTTGGAAAGAATGACTCTCTGGAAACCCTATTTATCTGTCCCAGATACCACTGCAATCAAAGAAACTTCACTTCCCAGGAACTAAATAGCTCTTCTGAATAAGTGAGGAGCATCTTTCAGATTTCCAGGTGACCATCATGGAACTTGGCCATATTAGGTTTTTGACAATAGGTCAAAGTGAATTGAAGTCTTTCTCTTAATTTGCCTGGTATCTACTGACCTGTGTCTGAAAGAGATAAACTGGAAATTTTTTTCCACATCAGCTACATGTATTATCTATACTCTGACAGCAGCTGGTTGTATTCTCAAGCCAACAGGATGTTTCTGTTCTTAGCACTGCACAGACACATATTGGGGGAAAGAGACATATATCACACTGTTGACTCAAGTTCAGCTTACAGTCAACTACATAGTTTCTCCTCATCAAAAAGTAGATTGTAGCTACCC